CCGCCGCCGCCGCCGCCATCACGCGCGTCACCATCGTGGTCGTGATGCGGGCACCACACGAAGCGGACGCCGCCGACGCTGAGCACGACGCGCGTGCGCGCGCGGTCGAAGAGCAGCGGCACGGGCGTGCCGAGGTAGTGCCGCGCGTGCAGCAGGCGCGCCGCGCGCCCGTGGCGGGCGAGGAAGAGGTCGTGCCAGAGCGGGTCGAGCGGCGGCGCGAGGGAGGCGGGCGTCTGCCAGTCGTGGGCGGCGTCGTCGTTGGCGCGTTGCGCGGGTGGGTGGGCCTTCCATGTGGCGAGGAGCGTCTGGGCCGAGGCGTCGGAGAGGCGGTGGGGGCCGGCGTACGGGAAAGGCGGGGCCGGTGTTGACTGCGTTGTGGTCTAGTGATTAAAAAAAATTGTGGTCAGAACAGGATGTGTGCGTGTCATCAAACGGGAACTCGTACCTGGAACGGCAAACCGTTCTTGATGGTGGGCAGCCGCACCTCCTGGAAGCAGCCATCGAGCTCCCGCAGGGCAGACCCACCGAACCGGCACAGCACCAACTCGCCGAACGCGTTCCCGGCCACGAGGAGCCCGAGCGCCTCGTCGAGGTCGCGCACGGCGTGGAAGTAGAGCGCGGGCATGTGCGGCGCGGCGAGGCGGAAGCAGGGCCCGTCGTCCGGGGTGCGCTGCCACCGCGGCGCGCGCGCGCCCACCGCAGGCAGCCTGCCGTTCGCGAACGTGTACGCGCCCTTGCCGACCTCGAACGCGTTGATCCACGAGACGGAGGTGCAGCCGGGCCCGAAGCGCGGGGCGACCTCGTACGGCATGAACGCGGGGTCGGCGACGAGCGGGAGCGGCGAGGACCACCGCCGCACGTCGTAGAAGTGCTGGAGCTCGCTGGAGACGTCCAGGAGGCGGAAGACGTGCAGCCCGAGGTAGTCGCAGATGCAGAGGTGGATCATGGGGGTGCTCGCGCCCGTGCCGTCTGTTGCTCCGTCGGAGGGCCGGCTGGAGAAGACGACGTCGGCAAAGCTGACTTCGCCACGGAACTCTAGCAGGGTCTTCCGCACGGCCATTTCCGTGTCGTTCAGAGTGTTGAATAGCTGCAGTCGTTCGGGCGTGACGACAGCGACGAAATTATCCCATATATCCATTGCCATGCATCCGCCCTGGGCAAGGACGTGAGGATCTGCATGAATGAAAGTGACAAGTGTACGCACCAAAGGATCGGGCTGGTCGCACAGGCGAACCACGACGTTTCTCTGCCAGTCCCAGACGCATGGGACGCTCAGTTCGTGATGCAGGGCGAAACATATGGTGGCGCCCCGTAACGCGCGGAGATGGGCAGCGTCATCCAGAGTCACCAGATGAGAGAATGTCGGAACCCCGGCCCCGTCGCCGAATAGCTGGAAAACCTGTATAGACGGCTGCCTGCGCATCGCATCAGCTTTTTGAACGTTGGTGTCCAAGTGAATCGCGGGGACTCACGGGGAGCATATGTCGAGCGCTACTATCACTTGGTCGTCCCGGCCATCTCGGTCGTCTGCCAGGTCCAGGATTGCTCCTCGAACGGGGCCAGAAAGATGGATTTCCGACAGAAGGCCCTGGCTGCCTCGGCTGTCCAGCAGCGACGCAAGCGACCAGATGGAAAGCACGCTGACGCTGGCGTCGGAGGCGGCTACGACGAGCCATTGCGCGCGAACGAGCTTGACCCATGTCACTGATCGCTTCTGGTGCAGGGGGACGATGTGGAGAGACCGTCGTTCAGGAGGCTGCAGTATATCCCGCTCCAGGCAGAGCGCGTGGCTGAGTAGCGCTTCGAGCTGCGGGCCTGTGAGGTCCCGTACTGGCCTGCAGCACGAGGGAAAAGGTAGACGGGCCGATATGAGGTCACGACGGAGGATATGGACCCAGACATTCTTGGTGTGAGTGAGGTCGTACAGATACCTGCAGGTCTGCGTGCGGCACGTTAGAGATCCTCTACCGAAACACGTGCACGAGCACCACCATACCTGCCGCACCCTGAGGAGGTCCTTCACCGAGAGCTGCAGGAAGATATCGACCAGGACATCGCCGTCCACGTCGGTCAGAGCCAGCTCGGCCATGTCGTTGGTGTGAAAGGACAGGGGAGCCAAGCAAGACTCGGAGGTCGGGAACATGCCGAGCACCGGCTGACATGAGGCTGACTGGGACTGGACCGCCAGCTTCCCGGAAGACCTCGAACATGGACCTTCCGCGGTCGTGTCAGCCACGATCGGC